GTGAAATTTACGACGAAAGTGTATTTTAGGATTTTGAACTGGTGCTGAATAAAATTCTTTCTTAGCCTAAACTTATAAATTCGTTTGTATCTGGTGCATGTCAAACCCATGTGTAGCTTAAAGGTCAAACAAGGATTGTCACTCACTAAATTGGCTCGCCATTAAGTCTTGTGATCGCCTTCGTATGAATTTTTGTTGTTCTTGTTGTTGTTAAGTCCGCGTTCTACTAGTCCGCGTTCTACTAGTCCGCGTTCTACTAGTCCACGTTCTACTAGTCCGCGTTCTACTAGTCCGCGCTTCACTAGTCCTCGCTTCACTAGTCCTCGTTTTACTAGTCCTCGCTTTACTAGTCCCCGCTTTACTAGTCCTCGTTTTACTAGTCCAGTCCAGTCCAGTCCTTAAAATGCCATATGCCGTAAACTCATTCTAAAAATATCTTGTTCCCTCTATTCGCTAGATATTGACACCTGACTTTGAAAGGGTTTCCATCGTTTGCGCACTGGCGTGGCGCACCAAAATACAAAACATCTGGTTTCGCCAAGTGGTTTGGTGGCTTTAGCTATGTGATGCAAGAAAAATTCACGAGGTACAATTAAAATTGTCGACAGTTCAAACGTGAGCGACTTACCTTGCTTTCCATTCCATTAACGATGACAGCTTTGACAGTTGACTTTAAAATGGCTTTCTTATGGGCGCGCTTACGGAATAAAAACAATAACATTGCCGTTTTAATTTCTTGTTTTCTTATGGTCATCCATCATAACGACAGTTTGCTGATATTTAGGTCCTTTTAAAAAAAAAATACAAGTTATACATCCAAGATCCAAGTCTACCAATTCCAAGACAACAAGATTCAATCAAAAGCGTTCAAAAACTTCTTCAGCTGATCACGAACTGACAACAGGCTCAACAGCTACATGTACATTCGCTGCATCTGTTGAGTCTCATGCATGAAGCGTCAGTAGGGAACCCGAATGCAGCCATATAGATGATACTGAAGCACTGGAAGAAAGTGTTCAATCGGAATCACCGAGAGAATCTCCATTCTTGGATCATAGTGAAGATTCTGACCTGGACAGTGATGGCCATTCGTTGGAAGAAGTTGTAAGCAGCAGTGAAGTCGAGTCAGACATAAACAACAATGGCGATCATATTGATACATCTGATGAAGACAAGAGTTCAGATCATAACAGTTCACTTGCTGGTTCTTTCTCTGACCAGGAAAAAGCTTGCATGGCTATTCTGTCGTACGTTTCAAGACATTGTATCACCAGCGAAGCTGCTAAAGATATGATAGATTTGATCAAAACCGCTTGTCCTGAAAATGAAACCTTCAGAACACTTACTTACTGCAAAGCACAAGAAGTGTGTTGGAAGTGCGAACTGCATGTTTATGACATTCGTGAAAAATGCCTTGCGCTTTTCCCTTTGGATGATCCAAACAAGTATGACTGTTCTACAGCCAATTGTAATGGGTGAGTTTCGGAAACTGGATGTTTGGTTTTTATTATTTTTGTTTTTTCAATTTGTTCCTCATTTATTGTTTGGTTAACGGTTCATTTGGTTATGCCGGGTATGTAGTAATAGTGATTTACCTAAGAAAACAAAGAAAAATAAGTATTATTGGACTGAGCTATCGCAAATCATCGTGACTTGTCAACATCCACGTAATTACCATGCTGTGCACTAAGAAAAATTGAAGGGAGCCCTGAGTGCCCACTGTGCTCTGAAATCCAGGGTCCCCATCATATGCTTCATATGAAAAACCTAAGATTCCTGAGTCGCCCAAGAGCAAAAGTAAGGCGCTAAGGGCCACCGGGCGGTGCTAGTCAGCACAGCCCTGAATTATCAATCTGCTTGATACTGACAAATTTCAACATTTTGATAATTCGACTATTTATTTCTAATTTTTTACTAGACTTCGATACAAGGGAAGTGCACATCACCAATCAAAACAGGAGCACAAAAACAGTTTTGTCACAGTAAACATTCAAGACCAGCTGAAAGATCTTTTGGAAAGTAAGTGATGCTTAACGTGAGAACTAATGAATACCTAATGGTAAATGATGTTAAGAATAGGCTAGTAATCAGGGTGTTATATTTTAAGTCTTTACAAAGATTAGCATAGGAGGTTCTTGTTTAAGCTATTTTGTGTCTGCTTCTGTTCTTTAAATTTCTATATGAACAATGTGTTGTTCACAATTATTAATACAGAGTGAAAAATTTTTCCTATAAAGTAAATTGTTTGTATTTTAAGGAGATGGGATTTGGTCAACCATTCAAAACAGAATTAAGTGTCGTGGGAAAGAAGTCATAGAAGACATCATGGATGGAAAATATTATATTGAGTTGTGTGAGAAAGGCCAGTTCTTACACAACAAGGCAAATATCAGCTTGATCTTTAACACCGATGGAGCACCTTTGTACTCGTCATCCAGTGTTTCCCTGTGGCCTGTCTTCCTAATGCAGTGAATGAGCTTCCCTCCCCTGACAGGTTTGTTATGGAAGTGGTATTGGGCTTTATGAACAATACTGCGATTGAAACGATAATAATTTTGCTTGTTGTCAATGTTATCAACTGAAACCCAACCTGTAGAGTAGATGTTTTACTCTTGTTTGTTGTATTTGGCTGTGTATTACCCAGGTGATAGTGTTTGTCATTTATGTACAGGTAGAAAATTAATAGTTGATCTAAACTAAAGCATAGCAGTTTTGTATCTCAAACAGTGTACAGAACAGAAGTGTCTTTCACTTACTTACATCTTTCACTCACATTGTCTGACATGTACATTCATTTTCAGGTTTTCCAAACAAAATATGCCTATGTGGGGAATTTGGCAGGGTAAATGAAAACCAGCATTTAATGTCTACTTTGAACCTTTTGCCACCGAAATGACCAAGTTATATAATGATGGTGAGTAAATGTGACATCTGTTCAATTTGACTTGAAAATAGATTGCATGTTTAAATTGGTTGTTGTACTTTCTGGTATCAATAGGTATTCAGATTGTGTTGGCTGTTGAGCAGTCTCCAGTCACTGTAAAGGCTGCTGTCATTCTTGGGTCAACTGATTTGCAAGGAAAATCCTACCTTCTTTGTATGACACAACACAATGGGGAAAGTGGCTGTCTTACATGTGAGGAGCCAGGTATTGTTGTAAAACAAGGAAAAGGCCATGCTCGCTGTTATCCATACAGAATTCATGAGGAAACATCTCCAAAGCGTACCACCAACTCATTTCTGACCAATGCTATCGCAGCACATCAAGGTCCCAAAAAAAAAGGTTAGATACATTTAGGGATTCTTGTTGAGAACTTAATGGCTTTAATGTTTCTTGCAAATATTAGATCTTAGATCGAATCTGACTAGGCTGTATGGGAGGACTGCATTTTGCTTAGATATAAACAAAGAAAATAAATTGCTGAAACATGATTTAACTTTGCTAAATGAAACTTTCATTTTTGTGAAATTTGTTACAGGCACTCTAACTTGAGTTTTGTCAACTAGGTTGCAGGTATCTTTGATGTCACAAGTCTGGCATTAATGCCTTGGTTTGATATTGTTGTTGGGATGGTACCAGATTACATGCATGGCTGTCTATTAGGAATTACCAAGACTCTCCTCTACAAATGGCTGTCAGCATCAAATCACAAACAACCTTATTTCATTGGCGGGCAAGTAAGTTTAGTAAAATTATTATTTATTGTCATGGCTATCCCTCAATTAGGTTGAGGACGATAGTCTTCGTATTGATCAGTGGTGTGTCTGCAGTGAGGTGGCTCATGAACTATAAAAGGTAAATGATCATTTGCTAGCACTTGAAGGTTAATGACTGATATCTACCCTTGTCAATGTGCTTTATATAGTATTTTATACATGGTTACATTTCATGCACACATTGCAGATTGCAAACATCAGCAAGGGACTGCAAAGGATGAGACCACCTGATTATTTGTCAAGACTTCCAAGGGACTTAGAAAAGCATTTCAAAAACTTGAAAGGTGCATGTCTGTGTATAGTCAAGTAGTGTTACAAAGTATTATCATTTTGCATTTGATGAATTTGAAACTGTGGTGGGAACGCGAACCTCCACAAGCAACAAATTAATAATGATCAAACCTTTGTGTGTGCTAATCAATCATGAAGGTAGATTGGTGTCCTTGTATGTGTTCTCTTCTGCTCCCCTCTAATCATGCTTCAGACTTCTAGTATTTGAATGCCTGCCATGCATGCAGGCTAAAAGGGCATGTGGGTCACAACAACTGTTCAGTGTGAAGCTAATTAGAAAATGTTATTAACAATTGATTGTTAAGCATTTTATCCCTTTTTACTTTGTTTAAAGCTTCAGAGTTGCAAGCTTGGCTGTTATGCTACGCACTCCCATGTTTAAACGATTACCTGCCTGACAAATACCCGCTACATTTTGGACACCTGGCAGAAGGTATTTTCATCCTTCTTGGAGATGCAATTACACCTCTTCAGTTAAACAGAGCAAAAGAGCTTCTGCACACCTTTTACAAGGACTTTCAGAGTTTATACGGTGAGAGCATGTGATACTGCTGTAATCAGTTGTGTGGCTGGACCATTTGATCTATTCAGGTGCAATACATCAGATATGCAACACACACACCAAAAAAAAAACTAATTCTATATTGGTCAGGGTTTTTTTTTTAGAAAACTTAGGCACAATGTTTGAAAACAGACAAAATGTTTTGTTGTTGCCTGTTTTGCTAATTTCTAACTTAAAAGGTAACGTTCAAAGATTAGAATTTAAGATTTTTATAAGTCTATCAACTGTGAAATCAAGAACTGAATATTGTTAAATGTCTTTACAGGAAATGGAAGTTGTGGGCTCAATGTTCACAATGCCGGTGTTCATTTGGCTGATTATGTACAGGATGGGGACCGCTTTGGGCTTGCTCAGCCTTTGGTTTTGAGGATATGAATGGTACCATTATGGACCTGACACACGGTACAGGAAATGTTTGTAGGCAGGTGAGATAGTCACTCTCTCTCTTTTGGAAGTGAAGAGCAGAGTTTGTTATTGTATAGAAACTGATCAGTTTCAGCCTTTTATTTATGTGATAACATGGAACTTGTTATTCCCCAGTTACCATATTATTGAAAGCTTCTTATAATCCAGGAACCATTTTAGACAAAAGATCTAGTAACTGTTGTAATAGTTCCCTGACCTGACATTACCATTGCCACTGAAAACAATCAATCATTGAATTCCTTTTACATTTAAAGGTTCTGTGGATGCTTCATGCTCAGAGTCGACTAAGGTGTGGCATACAACTGATGGAAAATAGTGCCATGAAACACTTCATTGAAAGAATACTTAACACTCAAAGAGGGTATGTCAATTTAAGTTATTCCAAAAGTTAATGTACTGAATGAAAGGCTTTTGCTGCATTGTTGTAGCCAAGAGGAATTCTTCATTAACAAACATTACTCAGGTGAATATTTGTTTTGTTATCGGGTTTTAGGGTAAAAAATCTCAGGACTGCTCAAGGTTGCCAAATTGCTGGTGGAGCTAAAAAGCTCAATGGATTATCACAAGATTTGCTTGAGAAAATTAACAATGAAACCACTAGCCAAGCAAAGATGAAAGTGCTACGTATTGTGAAGAATGGACATGTCTATTTCTCAAAGGAGTATTCCAGAATGGTTAAACGAAATTCATCTGTTGCCCTGTTTGAGAATGAGAAAATTGGGGAGATAGAGTTTTTTGTCTGGGAACGAGACTCTGGATTGACACTTGCAGTGTTCCGAGAGGTGTATCCAGATCTTGGCAAACCCTTTTTCTTTCAAGATGCTGGCCATCACATTCT